TCTAAGTATCTCGTTATGTGTTCCCCATTTTTGTATACTCTCGTAAATGTACTCGTACGTGGACGTGTGGTATGCGCGTGTACGTGTGTGTGTGTGTGTGTGTAAGAGTGGAACTACATGTCTGTCACGTTTGTGTGTGTGTGTGTGTGTACGTCGGAGCGTATATCATGATGTACGTGTGTCTCAGAGTCTCGTGGAATGTCTGGCTCGTGGAAACGCGATTAGAGAATGGGCCTGTGCATCTGCTAAAGCGTGTGTCGTCGCGTGTGTGAGTACTCTCGGTGCGATGGATAACATCGCGTGTGTGTCCTTTGTATCCGCGTTTCGTTCGCTCTCGTTATACTCCGGTCTGAAATATACTCTTTCTCGCCATAGTCGAAAGGATTTCCTTCGCACGCGCGCGCCTCACGTCGGCCCAGGTCGGCCAGCTGGACGCGGGTTCGTACGGCGGGTATTGCGCTTAACTGGCGGAATCGCAGTGGGTTTACGGTTGGTTGTGCTTAGCATCATGCATGCATGCCTTTTTTCCATCTTTCTCTTTTCTACTTCCTTCCTGTTCTCCCCTTCACTGCACCGGCAACTTACCTGGCAACGTTCGAGGGTTTGTTTGTTTGTTTGTTTGTTTGTTTGTTTGTTTCTTTTCTTCCGATTGGAACGGAGAGGTTGTAGGAGGGAGGAGCACAGGGGTCGTGTGTGTGTTTGGGCAATCGGGGGCTGTTTCGTCTCGTGGTCGCGTTGTCGCGCCGTATCGGAGGATTCCCTTCTTCGTGGCTGCGGTCGCGCGCGAGATCTCGCGAACGGCGCGCCGCATCGGTTCGTTCTTCGGCGCTTCGGTGCGCGCGCGCGCGCGCGCGCGTCTTCGCGTCTCTCCGAAAGCGAAAATCGGCCGAGGAAAGCCGAGAAAGCAACAAAGAAGAAAGATTCGCGTGACGATCGCGAGCGGAAGGGAAGGCTCACGGTCTCGCGGCGCGCAACGGCGAGAGAAGGCGCACGGGATCGGTGCGTGTGAGAAGATGGCGGAGAGATCTGGGCGGGAATGTGGGCTTACTGTATACGGGTCTTCTTTTCTTCACTGTGTGTGTACTCATAACTGTATACTTTACTGATAACTGATACTGACTTTCGTCTACTGCTCTACGGAGTCCTCCATGCTGAGCGCGGGGCCGCGCTGCTCCGCCGGCTGCTGGCTGCTGTTAGTCGACTCGCCGGACCTGTTGCTCGCGGTGTTGTAGCCCCTCTGCAGTTGCACGACCAGCCCGCTCACGGCAGCGTATTCCTTTTGTTGTTGCTGCGGCTGAGTCTTCTGGCTCGAATGATCTACTATAAGCTTACTATCACAGGCACTTTTTTTGTCAGTTGATACGGCGTAGAGGTTGTGTAAGTCCGGGTAGTGGTTCAGCTGTGGTTGCTGCTGCTGCTGCTGCTGCTGCTGCTGCTGCTGCTGCTGCTGCGGCAGCGGCGTTTGTTGTTGTTGTTGTTGTTGTTGCTGTTGCTGTTGCTGTTGCTGTTGCGGCTGTTGCTGCAGATTCAGAGGTTTCCGATCGCGATCCTCCTGACCGCCGTTGTGAACCTCGCGCTCCCTACTGCTGCGGTCGATTCTAGAATCACGGGTACTGTCCTCGTCCCTGCTACCCGCTCTGGAGATCGACAGGGGTGTCGGCGGTGACGTGAGTCGATCGCTGCCGTCGTCCGTGCGAGCCCTCTCCGACGGCGACGGGCTCAGATCGACCGTGGGCACACGTTCGGGTCTCTCCGGCACGATTCTACCGGACGCCGCTGGTCCTCGATAACTCTCGTCTTCACTGCTATCCTGCGCCATTCGCGGCAGCGGGGTCCTCCGGGAGTTTCTGCAGAGCTGGTCGATCAGCGTTTTGCTGCTCATCGTCTCCGGGTGTTGTTGCTGCTGCGACGACGACTGCTGCTGCTGCTGCTGCTGGTTTCTCGTTTCCGTGATCGTCCGCTGGTCCCTTGGAATGCCTGTCTCGAGGCTCGACCTGATCAGATTGTCCAGGAAACTGCCGTTCGCGCCGGGCCCGTCGTAGATGCTCTCCACCATGTCGCGTGGCGTCTTCACCATCGACGTGCTGCGAGAGTTCGAGGTGCCTGCTGCATCCGCCGTCCCGGACGCCGCGATCCCGTCGCGATCTCGTTGCTGGTGCTGGTGCTGCTGCTGCTGTTGCTGTTGCTGCACCATCGCCGTGTTTCGTTGTTGCTCCTGCAGTCCGCGCATTCTCTGCGACGCGAAGTACTGTTCCGGCAGGATCGGCACGTTGGGTGCGCCGCCCATGAACGGAGAGGGCATGAACGGCGTCGGGTTCCAGAAGCTGAAGGGCGCGAACGGCAAGTGGGGCATGCCCTCCATAAACGGCGGCATCTTCAGCCCATTCGGCCCGGATATGCCGCCCGGCGGCGTGAACGGTTTCTGCGGCTTCAACTGCGGCTTCTTGTCGACGCCGGCGCCCGGTCGCATCGCCGCGGCCGCCGCCGCCGCCGCCGCCGCCGCCGCCGCCGCTGCCGTCGTCGCAGTCTCCTTCGACTTGTCGTCTGGTTGCTTCTGGTCCCTGGAACGAGAGCAGCACAGAGAGAGAGCTTCGATTAGTTGCGAGGCCAGTTTCCATCCTGGAACATCGCGTTTGTGTTTTTTCCGCAATTTTTCAGACCTTTCACTCAACGTAAAACGGACCCTTCCAACATCGATTGTCGAACGAAGGTTTCCTTGTACTTCGACTATTTTACAGGTTTCTGAGAATCTCAAGCTTGAAATGCCACGTGTTTCGAGTATTTCGCAAACTTGCACGCTCGTCAGCTCGTTGTCGGAGGTCAAGATACATTCCGAATTGTAGTTTGGTATTTTGATGGGGGGGGGGGGAACATTGAATTGAAAAACAAGAATATTAAATTAAGAGAGAAAAATTCGTTTCGTCTCTCCTACATAGAGAGAGTTCAAGAATTGTGTATAATATTCCTCAGAAGAGAGAATAAATTCTTTCCAGCACGCACGATAATGAGATATACTTAAAACGCGCGAGTATATTTTAAGACTATTATCAAGAAAATATGCTTCGCAGCGAAAGATAAGCATTGCTTAAACGAAGAAAAGCAAAGCGAGCGATCGCTTTCGCTCGGGCGCAAGCGAGTGATATTTTTCTCCGCGCGTGTCGCGCTCCTGCGGATGAATTTCACAACTGTCGTCACCCGCGGACGTTTCGCTCTGAGAAATCCGACACGAGGATGCGACGTACGCGGGGCGCAAAGCAGCGCACGCATTCGCGCGACGCGACGCGACGCGACGCGACGCGACGCGACGAGAAGAGCGACGAAGCGAACGCGATCGACTCACCTCTTTCGCGGCCTCATGAGATGCCGTTCCTTGACTTTGTACTCGAGGGTGGAGTGCGGTACTCCGTAATAGCTGCCAGCCCGATGCACGCTCATCTCGCCGCGCTGGACCGCGCGTACCGCCTCGACGAGGCTGTCCCTGTCGTAGTTCCTGTACTTGCCGCGCTTCGGCCTGGTGCCCTTGCCGCCGGTGCCCGGTTTCGACTTGTTCGCCTCGTGCGACTGCTGCTTGGCCTGCTGCTGCTGCTGCTGTTGCTGTTGCTGCTGCGACGGCGGTTGTTGCTGCTGCTGCTGCGGCGGCTGCGGGGGTGTGTAGCGACCCCTCTTGAACGGACTCGGGTCCGTCATCATAGCCTGCTGCGACTGAACGGCTGCTTGACAGCCCGGCAAGCCGGTCGCGCCGGCTGTCTGACCCTCTTGGAACTTGACGCTGATGCTCTTGGCGATGACGTCGCGGAAGTTGACCCCCACCGCTTTGCCCACCAGCGAATTCGTGGGGCTGCTGGTACCGGAGAACGCTGGACTAGCTCGCTCCAGGAGACCCGGACTCGAGGCGGCAGCCGCGAAGCCCTGAGCGAACGCGGCGGAAGTCGGCTCGCCGTTCTTGCTGGAACAGCCCGGCGTGCTGGCGGGCTTGTAGGACGGAATTTTCAGTATCGCTCTGCCCTGAGCGCTGTCGCTGGCCTCCTCCTCGATGTTGGGATTGAAGTCGTCGTTCGTCATCGGCACGCGTTGCTGTTGCTGCGACTGCGTCTGCTGATGCGCGGCTAGGTGGTGGTGTTGGGGATGATGGTGCTGCTGATGGTGCGGCTGCGACTGGTCGCCGTTCACGTTCTTGTTCAGCCTCTTGTCCTCGCTCATCAGCTTCCTCACCACCTCCGGTATGCGGTAGTCTCGCGTCTCGATGCCTGACAGGTCCGAGTTCAGAGAGTTTGTTCAAACAGAATGCTCAATTCGACTTTATCTCGTATGGCCGAGCGTACACGCGTGTGAGCTGATGTCACTTGCGAGCAAAGAATCGCGTCGCTCGAGAATAATCTCTCTCTCTCTCTCTCTCTCTCTCTCTCTCTCTCTCTCTCTCTCTCTCTCTCTCTCTCTCTCTCTGCCTCTCTTTCTCTCTCTCTCTCTCTCTCTCTCTCTCTCGACGGAGCGGGTAAACAGACGCGGAAATAGGGGCAAATCGAGCTGGTGACAAATTTGGCAAAACTGACGACGAAAAGATTTCATTCCGCCCCGAGCTATCAGATCGCAATTCCGAAAACGGATTTCAACTACTTAAACTAACTCGTTGTCCAAAGGTGGAAAAAGTACCGGCGCGCGCGCACCCGCCCGGCTACGGCTTGGCTTCTATCGATTCCAGAAGTCCTATCGCGGCGTAATACACTTTTCGACTCTCGTCCCTTAGCGCCGATTGGCTAGTCAATGAGTGGACAAAATAAACGACTGCTTGTCGGAAATGACCCAAATCCCGATTGCACCGGCGTGGTGCAATTTCTTCCACGACAACGGACCGCTTTCATATGTCGCGTCTGTTTTGTATCGCAAGCAAAAATCTCGAGCCGATCATTCATCGCGATCGTAGATATCGATACCAAGTAGCGATCTACACTCTCTCTCTCTCTCTCTCTCTCTCTCTTCTCTCTCTCTCTCTCTCTCTCTCTCTCTCTCTCTCTCTCTCTCTCTCTCTACTGCCGATTTGCGATTTTGCAATCGCGACCAAAATGTCACCTTCTTCAGAGCGAAGAACGAACCCCGTCCGCCCCGCCGGTCGACGGTTCGCGCGGCGATTCGGCGCCGATAAATTTCACTCACCCAACGGTGCCGCGGCAGCCAACATCTTTTGGATGTAAGGGCCGATGTTCGCGTGTTCCAGTCCCGGCCACTCGGCCCCCGTCTCCCCGTGTCCCCGTTGCAGCAGATTCCTCAGGGAATCACCGCCGGTCCCTTCGAGCGTGGAGAACCTGACGAGATCCTCCAACGAGAGCAGGGGCTTCAGCAGAGCCCTCTCGACTTCCTTCTCTTCTTCCGCCCCGGACAGTTCTTTATCGTCCGCCTGTTAAAAACATCTCTTCTAGCGTTTTCTGCGTACTCCTCGCTCCTCGCAAGAGCATCTAAATTGCAGATTACGGTCAAGTTGTCCTCTCGAGGAAAGTGAAAAGTAGAAGCTTCTACTCCGCCTACGTGGACGCGAGTAGAAGCGGTGCTTCTCTTATCATCGATAGTCATTAGGCAACCGTTGCTGTTCGCAATGGCAACTTCTTGTTCGAGAGTGCTTCGTCGAGAGGTGTGTGTGTGTGTGTGTGTGTGTGTGTGTGTGTGTGTTTGTTTGTAGTGTACGTGTATCTGTATCGCGTGTAGGTGTCGATTGTCCATGTAAATATATACAGAGCGTTTCTCCCCAAAGTGACCGCGTAGCGTATCTTAGAAGAAGAAGTATCCAAGTGAAGAGGGAGGAGATAAAAAATGCGAGAAAAGATACTCCGGATTCGAGAAGGTGACGAGTGTGGAAAAGTCGCGTTTCGGTTTCAATGATTTCGAGACGAGGACGCAGTCTGTCCCCTCGGACGTGATATTCTGGAAATTTTTTCACAGGAATTTCCACACGAAGACACGTCGATTCGATATAGAGAGGAGAAATTTCGTCCTCGTGATCGAAAGGAACCTCTCTTGCCATTTCTCCCTTTCCCCGCGATCGAATACTTCTTTCAGGGTACACGCGATCGAGTCACTTCGCACGAACCACTCCGTACACACATTTCCATCGAATGCAGAATAGCCAAGCGCCATGCAGGAGCTGCTAATCAGTAAACAGTTCTCTTTTCCAACGAAGCGGCAAGTGTTTCGCGAGAAAAATCTTCCCGATGTTCTCGGTAGTCGCACCGAAAAGACGACGCAATCAACTCGCGGCTACCGTCTCCTCGCTAGTTCTCTAGGCAGAGGGTTTCTAAAATATACACACACACACACACACACACACGCACGCACGCCCACTACAGGCACAGGCACAGATACCGCGCAAGGGGTCGCGAAATTCGCGAGGTGGCGCGAGACTTATCCTCGGCGTGCGCGCGTTTCGATGAGAGATACGGCAGAATTTAAGTGCAGAGATATCGCTCGGGACTCGCTCAGGGCGCATGCATTGCACTAAAAGTGAAGCAACAGCCTTCTACGGCGGCGACTACGTGTACGAACGCGCGCGCGATCGCACGAAATGCAGGAATGAAAAATGAGACTTTAACCGTGCATAGACCGTGCTTACGAGCTCGACAAGTTGCGCCGTAAAATAGCGCCTCTCTCTCTCTCTCTCTCTCTCTCTCTCTCTCTCTCTCTCTCGCGGTGTTCATGCTGAGGCGAAGCTTGGTCTTACGGGCGAGGTAGCGCGACTAGCGCAGTGCGATGTGCTCTGCGCGCTACGCGATCGCGATTTTGCGGGGGAAACGAGATAGACACGGCGAATGCGACTCGACGGCAGATTTCGACGGCCGAGGAAATCGTTCACGGGGTTGCGCGGCAAACGCAACGTGCTTAATCTCACCGCGCGCCCCTTACGACGGTGTGTTTGCCCGGCCTTGCTCGAATTCGCCGCTCGGACAAACGGTGCTTCAGATACGTAACGTTTCCGAATACAACAAAACCGTGCCGCTCTCCCCCAGTGCGCGCGGCCGCTGAAAAGTTCGCGCTTTCATTTGTTTACAAATTTTATTTCACGATTCCCCTCTCTCGTGTGAGAGCAAATCGCCGCCACGCCGCGCCGTGCCGAAATTTGAATCAGATTCCGCCGGCAATTTCGCTAAACAACCGAATGAAAAAGCACCGCTCCGCGCGCGTGCGCGCGGCCTGACTCTCGGCGGAATCGAAAAAGGAAGAAAAAGGAAAAAAAAAAAATAGAAATTCTCACGCTTCGCCGCCTTCGACCGAAATATTCCCAGTATTTCCCCAATTGTCACGACCGATCTCTGGCTCTCGGTGCGCGTTGAGCAAAATTAATGGCGGACCCGACCGCCATTAGGAGAGATCCGAGCAAAAGACACTATCAGATGATGAGGATTAAATCGGCCCGGTGCGTTTAGCCCGCCGTAATCTTCGATTGCGCGACCGTTTCATGCATGACGGCGCGTCCGTCCTGAAATTGCGATCCGCCTCTATTCCGGAGCTGTCATTCGATCGGCCGTCTCTACCGGCGCGCGGAGGCTCGTAATGCGCGAAACATCGAGGATGCAGTGAAAAGCGTATATTCACGACCACGAATCGTCAACCGGGCGCAGCTACGAGCGCCCGTTAGAACGGAAGGACGAACGGACGGGGGGGATCGAACCCGTACGATCGTAATCCTCCTTTCGTCTCTCTCTCTCTCTCTCTCTCTCTCTCTCTCTCTCTCTCTCTCTCTCGCTCTCTCTGTCTCTCTCTCTCAATACGACCTCTTCCCAAAAACTTACCTCGAGTCTTGCAACCTCGCGGACACCAAGTTGCCGTGTGTTAAACTACAAATAGTGAGATAAAAAAAGTTAAACAGCCCATGCAAACACTGGACACTACTGAGCATCACGGCGACCGGAACGGAGCCGCGTAGACCGTTGTCCGTTCCCTCCATTTCAATCGTGCCTCGCACCGAGATGCAAAAAAAAACGCACAATTGCCGTCGTCAACGCACTGCGGACTGGGTCGATAGTTTCTGCGGCTCGCTCGCTGCTAATTCGATACGGACGATCAGGCGGGAGAGATTTTATTCGACAAGAGGCAAGAACATGAATTGATATCCGTCGAGAAGCGACGCGCGCGTCTCCGAAAAACGCGAGCGTATTCTCCCCTTGAACGCGAAGTGATCGCGATTTATGAGATTTCGGAGCGCGACTCGCCTTGATTTGCGTCGCGCTTTGATCCGCTGCGTTAAACGAGCGCAGAGTTCGACGGGGAAGCGAAACTGCCGCAGTTCGCGGTTCATCACGGAGCCTTTCTCTCTCACACGCACACAGACTCGAATTAACGAGAAAAAGAAATCGCGAATCAATCGACCGAGCCCGAGTTTCGAGCCGATTGCGATTTTGAGAAAAACGGGACACGCTCGGTCCACGCGAGATCCACGATCGCCGTGCCAGAGGTATGTTTTGGGGAAGCTTCATTCGTTCTTCCTAACCAAAACCACACTTAGGTACAAATCAACGGTTTATATTCGCGAATCCTCCCCGACGAGACCTCCCCCGGTGCATCGTGGTGTTCGACTCTCCACGTCTCCTCTCCCTCCCACGTCATCTCCCGCTGCTTCAATCGGTCTTCTTAGAGCGACTACGGAAGATCACCTTGTCATCGACGCGATCGACACGTCCCCGCGTGCATAAAGACCAACGAACGTCGAGAACGAAAAGCACCGAAATAATAAGAAGACTCGCCGCCGCTTCGAGACTCTGTTGTCTCGGTGGACGGAAACGTGTCTGCTCGTACCGTTCGCGCGGAATTCCCCGTCGCTGTCAATGCCAATTGTAACGCAGCCTCGGCGGCTTTTCGTCTACTCGACGCGCGTGAAGGACCGACGAGACTTCGGCGACACGTCTTCACCGTCAACCTTGCTCCCTGCATCTCGCCCATTCTCTCGCTTGCGCTCTCTTTCTTCCTTTCTTACTTTCTCCCTTTCTCGTTTCGTTCTTTCTTTCCTTCTGTCTCTCTCTCTCTCTCTCTCTCTCTCTCTCTCTCTCTCACGCGCTAAATCTCTAACCATCTTGCGTGGTCTGTCCCCAAAACCTACCTCGTCCACTTGCGGGGGCGGAGTGGTCGCGGAGGCGTTTTGGGTCGTATTTGGTGGTGTTGTAGTAGTAGTGGTGGTGGTGGTGGTGGTGGTGATGGTGGTGGTGGTGGTGGCTGGGGCGCCGGACTCGTGAGGGTGTGAATGGGTGCTAGTCAGGGACGCGTCCCTTTCGCGCTCCATCGCGAGCTTGTAGACCTTGTTGCGCAGGGTGCTACGCGGTATCCCGTAGATCACCGCGGCCCTCCGCGTGCCGAGCTTGCCGCTCTGGATGTCCCTGAGGGCGGCCTGCAACTCTTCCTCGGTGTAGGTCCTCCTGCCACCCCCGGCACCCACCACTGGAACACCACCGACGCCCGCCGCAGCCGCCGCCGCTGCCGCCGCCGCCGCGGCCGCAACCGGTCCGGTCATTCGCGGTTTCGCGCGGTAACACGAGCTGAAACAACGTTAATCAACGTTATCGTCGGGTCTGGCCGGCGGGGTGTTTTTGCCTGAAATTCGGCTAGTTCGAGGGTCATTTGCAGCACTACGTATAAATAGCCCCCTCCTGGCGCGCCGTGAGGTGGACGAGGCCGGATAAAGTGCAAAGTGACATTTTCGCGATATCACCGATATCCGCTATCTCTCGCGCGAATGTCTACACAAAGTGAAGCTGAAGTACGGAGGAGGGAGAGAGGCGAGACTGCGAATCCCCGCTTGCGCTTGCGACACGTCCGCGACATTATTGAGTCGCGCTTATTGTTGTAAGTAAGAAAAAATGAATAACAAAATCGCAGCGAGAGCGGCATTCGAAAATATATCACGAAAATTATGCATTTGTTTATTTATTTACGGCAAACTTCTTTTGACACGACAAGCTAAACGTGAACGGAGTAAAGAGCAAAAACATGAACGAGAAAATAATCGCATGAGGCGAGAGAATCGCAGTCGGGGGCAGCAGTTTTGCAGTAATTTTGGCCACAGCGCTAGCGATAACGAGCACGAGTATATGCATACTGCAACTATCTCTCCTCGTCGAAACAACAAGAAGGTGATAGCTGATAGTAACTACGGTCCTGTTAACATTAACCACCAGTTCCTCCGCGCGGCTGCTGCTGCTGCTGCTGCTGCGGTGTCTCCAATAATCCGCCTTCGTCCTTACAAACAGCGCGGCCGAATCTTCGAATATCTCGCGGCAAACGTTGCTCTAAGCAGCCGACCGGCAGAGGAGAGATCGTGCTCGCAGTTTGATAATCGCTCGGCCAATAGACGCGATCGATAGCCGTTCAAACTGGGCGTCATAACAAAGTCAGGTTATCCATCACTTCTCGCGATGCTAGCTCACGTTTGCTCCCGTCCTTCTGGACTAACCCGAGAGGCGAGCCGCATTAAATGGCTGCCACGTGGCAGCTCTCGACGACGTAAACACGTGTCCGCGCGCGATGTGTCTCTGCGCGCACGTGTATGCGTGTGTGCTTGTGTGACGATAACGCGAATCTGCAGTCGAACCTCGCGGCCGAGATCTCGAGGCGTCGAGAATGAAGCTTCACCTGCACGAAAGTGACACGGGGGCGCGCGTTAATCCGGCAATTTCGCGAGCTGCCGCGCGCGCAATCGATGGCCGAGCGGGGGGCGGGGGGGAACCGGGGGGAGAGTTATACTCGCTCAGGTGTGTTCGTGGCTTTTTAAGTACATAGGCGATTTACATATTTATGCGACCGAGTCACTTGTACACGCGCGTCGTGACAAGATCCATCGTCGAAACGAGAATAATTGAAACAACGGGCGTCACCGCCTCGACAGGTCTCTCTCTCTCTCTCTCTCTCTCTCTCTCTCTCTCTCTCTCTCTCTCTCTCTCTCTCTCTCTCTCTCTCTCTCTCTCTCTCTCTCTCTCTCTCTGTCTACGCATTATTAATAGCGATAATAGCCGGCTGCCCGCGCTAGAATTTTATTTTCATCGCCGTCGCATAAATTCGCGCACGTCAGCGCGCCGCGGCCACTTCTCGCGACGCATTACGTCCGCGCGCGCGAGGCGTCGCGTCGGTCTCGCTCGCCGAGTGTCCGCGTCGCGTCAGGCTGCAAAATATTTTTACTTTCGTGTATTACTGCATGCAACGCTACGCGCCTCGTCGGAGTGCGCCGGAGATGCGCGCGGTCACAAAATTGAAACAAAGAGAGATATATTTGAGTTATCGGACACTTATCGAGCGTCTCAGCGAGCGAGAGAGAGAGAGAGAGAGAGAGAGAGAGAGAGAGAGAGAGAGAGAGAGAAGGAGCACCGAAGTTCATAAACGTCGAGCGACAATTCGCCGGCACAAACGACACGAGTCCCAAGAGGCCCGATATTGTCCACGATAACGAAGAGAAAAGGGCGACGAAATGACCCCCCCCCCTCCCTCCTCCATGTAACTTTGCCGCGTAACATCGCGAGTTCTGTCCGCGAGGTCGCTCGAACGTCAGTCGCGCGGTCGGAGCGGTACGCGCGCAAAAAAAGCGCGCAAGAAGCGTCGGCGAAGGCGGGGGGGGGGGGGGGGGGAGGACGGTAATATTTTGCACTCGCATAAAAGAACGCGACGTGGCACGAAGACGATGGATATCGGGGGCCGGTGTAATTTGTCACAGAGCGCAACGATAAGATTAGGCGTAAGGAATCATCGCGGGAGCCGCGAGAGCTTTCTCCCCCTCGCCGTCCCTCCCGCCGCCCCCGATCGGCGTACACCACACGGCAGTCCCCACTGTTCGCGCGAGAGAAGTTCGTCGACCTGCGGCGCGCGCTTGTGTCGGAGCTGATAAAAGTGCATTTCGTCCGCCGCTGGCCTCCGGATAGGTCCCGCGACGTCTCAGTCATCGACCGGCGCTGATTTATCTGCGATTTTTGTTTGTCGACTCGTCTGCGGTTTTCGCGACGATGTGTATACGCGCTCCGATACACACGCACGTACACTGCTGACGTCGGAAACTCGGTCGACGCGCGAGCGTCGGCACCATGCACGAGTCCTCAGGTTCAACGTTCCCGTCGCCGTCGCCGTTGTCGTCGTCGTCGTCGTCGACGTCGTCGCGTAATTTCGGCTGAAACCGCGTATTCGCGTCCGCTCAGTAACACCATACGCGATACTCCCAACGAAGGGCGGCGGATTTCTCTCTCTCTCTCTCTCTCGCTCTCTCTCTCTCTCTCGCTCTCTCGCTCTCGCTCTCTCTCTCTTTGTCGGCTTCTTCGACACAGCGCGTTCTCGCACCGCGGCGGGAAAGGTTGCTCAGTCCTTTCGATTCCGGCTCCTTTCTGAGGAATGTTAAATATGTTGCACATGTCGTTACGCAATGTCGCACAATGCTGCGCAACAGCGTGTCAGAAAGGTGAGTTGAACAATGCCAAGGCGAGATGAATTTTTCAGCGGGACGTGTACAAAGCAACGAGATCGAAAGGGTCCGCTTCCGAGTAACGAGCTGTTGTAGGGTGGGTCGGAGATATTTTTCCATCGACGCGCACGCATAGCTCGCGTGAGAAGCCGGCGAGCGACGTCGATTAACATCGGTGGCAAAACAAATATCCTCGTTATGCCAGCGCGCATTGCGCCCGGAGCCGAAGTTTCGCGCGATCGATCCGGACGGCTCGTGATCGCGCAAATCCTCGCATAAATCACACCGGTTCGCGCAATCGCGCGACTCGGATAGCCGTAATCTCGTCCTTCACGGCGACGCCAATACTACTCGTCGGCCGGCGAACCTTCCTCCGCACAAAGTCTTCCACGAACCGGTTTTACCTCCTCAGCACGCCTGCTTGCCTTTATTGCGGCTCGCCTATTTTTCAGTATCGCGGGGGGGGGGGGCGGGGGACGCGTGAGCGGCGACACTACGTCTAATTTCGTTTGCGACCAGCCGTGGCGAACGCACGCCCGCTTTAAGTGAGACAAACCTGCTCGCGTCTCTCTCTTTCTCGTCCTGAGCCTGCGCGAGGAATCTCATTCGCGAGTCATTCGAAACACCAAGGGCGGATCTCGCCGCGTGCGCGCGATGGTCTCTGAAAAATTAAGAACACAGTTCGCAAAACTCTCTTGGCCCAATTCGCCAGGCTCGCGACGAGACAATCGAGCCGTATGAAATCTCACCGACGGCGCGCGAGATAAAGACGCCAGAGCGTGTATTGTTACGTAACAAGCGGCGACGTGTGCCCTCTCGAAGAGAGATATAAAATTACGCAGACTCGCCCGAGTATTTACTTGCGTAATGTCAGTTTATAGGCAACGCTAAGTATCTCGGGGGCTCCTTTAGTCCCCGCAACAACACCCAAGTGGAGTTGCAAAAACTTGGCGTGCCTGAATAGCATGAATTTAACAGCTATACACCTATATTATAGTTGCGCCAACCCTCCGAGAGAGCCCGTGCAATTTTCACCTCACCGGAGGAGAGCTCCGCGCGCGCGCGCGCGCGTATCACATTTCAAAATCATGACTACTATAAATTTTTCGGCGCCGTAACGGGAGATGATTGTAAACGAAACGAGAAAATACCTCTATCATATTTACCTTTACGCCCGTATTTATATTCGGTATCATTCGACATCGCCGAAATTCACGACGGCATACGACGAAATTCACGCGACGAGAGAATCGAGTATACCGAATTGAACCAAAAACAAATGCACACACCCTTGCCCTTGCGTAACGCATTTTCTCTCCTCTCCGTAGTGTAAACCTGTCATTTCGATCGCTCGTGGTGGAAATAGGTCGCGTTAATCGTCGCTAGTCCCCCATCGTGGCAGTTTCGATATTTCTTTCTTTCTTTTTCTTGTTTTGTTTTTCTTCTTCTTTTTTGAAAGCGTAAATGTGTCATCCCCCTCGGCGGCCGCGATTTTTATTCTCGCCGCGTGTCTCTCACAATGCGCGCGCGCGCGCGCGGCTGCATCGCCGCGCGAAACGTACGTTGTCCCGTAAACATACGCGCAAAGGATAACGCATTCGCGCGTCACACAGCGTCGCGATTCTTAACCGCTCTGCCGTGTGTCGCGCGGCTTTTCAAAGCTCGGCTTGGCCGAGCTGTCGTTCGCTGCCGCTGACTCTGTGACCCCATTCGAGTGCGCGGGTTTAATGCCAATTCAGATTAAAGCAAGGCCCAGATTTTCCTTGAGCGCCCATTCATACGAAAGCGCTGAAAACGCCTCGTTTCGCCACGCACGCACGCACGCACGCACGCACGCGCGCGCCGCGAATCTCCACCGATAAAGTACGAAACATGAGGGAGTGTTATAACGCGGATCAGCGTCGACGAGAAGCGGAACAATACTTCGACAGAAAGAAAGAGAGAGAGAGAGAGAGAGAGAGAGAGAGAGAGAGAGAGAACACACGAGGGAGATTGTCGTCCTCCTTTATTCGAAACGCTCGACCGGAGAATAAAATTCTTATCGCGCGGAATACGCCTCGATCGCAACAATTTGCGGACGGAAAGCGCAAAGTACTCCGCCAACGTCGTTCCCATCGCCGCGCGATTCGGGCTGAATTTTTCGCGAGAATTCTCGCTCGAAACGGCCTCTTGACTGTCCGCAACGCGCGAGTTCAACAATGAGCGTGAAATTGGTACGCCGCGAAAGATTCAACCGGTGAGCTAACGCGATCGACCATCCCGATCCCGCGCACTTCTCTCCGTCGCCGCAATGCGAGCCCAAATCGCTGCGATTTAATTTCCCGGCAACAAGTTCAGAGTTAAGCGGCGAAAGACGCATGGAAGGTGAGATATCCGCGCTTCTCTCTCTCTCTCTCTCTCTCTCTCTCTCTCTCTCTCTCTCTGCTGTCTGAATCGGGCTTTAATTTCGACCCGGCCGCCGCGGTTTCGTCGACGGTTCTATCTTCTATCGCTAATTACGCCGTAGCGCATGCGTCGACGCGAACTTCTCTCGCCTTCTTTTTCTCTTCCCCTTCGATCTCTCTTTCTCTCATCCTTTCCCTCCCTCTTTATCTTCATCGTTCTTCCTATCCCCCTTCTTCCCGACGCGAGTCGCACGGCCCCGCCTCGTAAAGCGCGCCGCCGCGCGACACACCACACGGTGGTGCCCCGCGAGTCTTCGATGTGCCGGGAGGTGCAGATTACGGTGGGCTAATAATAGACGACGATAAAAATTTGACGCGCAAAATGTTCCGCGGGGGAAAACAGCGAAAACACGGGGGCAACGTACGACTCCGACGCGCTCCTTCAGCGCGATGCCGCAGCTCGCGCGACTCGCCCGGTCGAGCTGGCCGCCGCGAACGGTCCTCGCATTTTTCGCGCGAGTCGCCGCGCACCGTCGAGCTTTCATCTCGGAGAGACCGTCTCTTGCCGCAATTCCTCGCGAATCCCCCCCGAGGACACATCAGCGGACATGCGAGACGCGAGCGCGGGGCGCGATCGCGATTCTTCCGGCTGATTCTTCCACTTCAAAGAGGAGAATCGCTGCGATTAATCCGTCCTCCGATTTTCTCACGCGGCAGAATCGGGAATAAAAACACGCACGCCGCTCGTTGTCGTTCGTTTCGACGGCGCGTTTACGCGGCGGGCCGGCTCTGCGAAATTCGCCGCGCCCGCCGTGGGGCTCCGCGCGCTCCCGAGACCGCAATCGAGTTGCGTCGATTTCGCGAAACGCACTGCTTAAATATTTATCCGGGCGCGCCACCGCAGACAGAGCGGCGCACCGGTTTAAAGCTCAAAGGGTTGAAAAGTTGAGGCAAAACTCGCCTGTATTGTTACGGTTTCGCGGCTACCGGCTGCTTACCCGCGAGGCGTGGCGAAGTGAGGCGGGGCGAGGTGAGGCGAGGTGAGGCGAGGCGAGGCGAGGCGAGGCGAGGCGAAGTGCGGGTGAGCACGAGAGAGAGAGAGAGAGAGAGAGAGAGAGAGAGAGAGAGAGTTCGCTAGCGTTTTACAACGGAAATTTCTTTCTCGTGCGGCCCGGCACAATGCACACGTCTGGGCCGCGATGCATTAGGCATCGCGCGTGAGAATCACGCAACGAGCGACCTGCCTGACCGCGGCGAGGAGTGACCGGTCGGAGAGCGATCGATGAGAGCGGCACGGTTGCCGGCCCGCATGCATGCATCGATATCACGAAATACGTTGCATCGCATTGTTTACAAACATAACTTCCAACGTCGCAGCTGAAACTTTATATTTTCACCGAGCGGGTGGGGGGCTAGAGAGGGGGTGTAACTTTGATTTGCGGTAAATCGTTACTTCACCGCGTTATCTTCTCTCTCTCTCTCTCTCTCTCTCTCTCTCTCTCTCTCTCTCGATGTTCTTTCGTTCTAATAACGTTATATTGGCGGGGAATGGGAGAGGGAGGAGCAAGGGAGGCGGAGGGTGTTGCAGCGCGCATCGCGTGTTAAATAATACCTGGCGCGTCGGTTATTCGCTCGTAATAACGCGTCCGCGTTTGATGAGCGCCGAAAAGATCGGATTTTAACGCCCCACCGAGGGGAGGGATCATTCGTCCTTGTAAGCCGACGTGGAAATGTTCCACTGCTGGTAAAAGGCCTGGTGAAAAATGATCGGGATAAAACGTGACGAAGGTTACCTGGCCGGCCGGCCGACCGATCGGTGCCGTTTGGTTACGAACACGACACCTATTTCCGTAATATGAGCCGCGCTCTGATGCGCGCACTGTCGATTGTTAAAGAGTCAAGATCGTCACGCGGCTGAATAATAAAAATGACGCGCGACGCTCGCGGTCCAACATGGCGAGGAGCGACATACGTCCGTACGCGAACGCGCGCACGTGTGTGTGTGTGTGTGTGCGTGTGTGTGTGTGTGTGCGTGTGCGTGTGTGTACACACGAGTTAGTCCGGGAGCGAATGACTTATCATCACCCGCGAGGTTGGCAGTTACCTTTCTGAGTTAGTGCACCGCGAAATATAAACGGTCGGGCGCGCTGACGGATACTTGAAGACAGTCTTGAACGCGCGACACGTTGTTTGTCCGAAGACATAAATTCCGCGCGCGCAGACCATTGGAATGATCGTCGCTGCCGCGCTATGCGGCGGTTTGATAGCGAGGAATCGCGAGAGAAAGAGCGTCGCGTCGCCGCACGGCAGATCGCGACGGCGATTCGCGACGGCCTGTTGACTCTTCGAAAGTGGTCGTCGCGCGGACGCAATCACGTGGACACACGGGCGTTTTCGTTTCTCAGCGGGCGCCGTGCGCGCGCGTCTTGTGAAATTTCAATTGATCCGCGCGGCGGAGCCTACTGTAAATTTCACCGCAATTATTTCCACGCGGCCGTGTCTGCGAGCAATTTTACGAGCTCGTTATCTCCGCTCGGGAACACGTTCGAGATAATCGTCAAGTCCTCGCAATAGCGTTGCCAACGCCCGGCGCGATAGAACGCGCGCACGTCCAAGTTCATCTGGCAAACTTGAGCTCTTGGCGAGAGCGCGCCCGCGCGCGCACCGCGATCTTAGATTCTGATAAACGCGGCTCTTTATTTACAACCCCGCTCTGTTTGCCTTTTAAAACAATCGCAGCGCTCACGGGGATTTTCGAGTCGCGAGCGTGTGCGTGTGTGTGTGTGTGTGTGTGTGTGTGTGTACGTATGTGCGCGCGCGCTCACGATACAGCACGTAGGTGTGCGAGATATTTAATAACCTTCGGCGAATAAATGATTCCTCGTTACAAAGAGTGCGAAACGCGACTGCGAATAATGATAAATCCGCATTATCCGCGGACAATTTAAAAAACGCGCCGCTCTTTGGAAAACTGATTACGCGCGCGCGAGTGTGCGTAAGCGGCGCCGATTAACGAAATCCGAATAACGAAAAATCCTCGATGGCGTCATCAATTATCGAATCTGTTCCGCATATTTGGCCAAAAATGCGAACGGACGAGCGAACGAGCGAGCGAACGAATTCGATCCGGCCGAGTGTCATTCGTACGATACGAATCCCCCCTCCCCCCTATCCGGCATCGTTGCCGCGTGTGACGTCTTTACGAGCGAGATAAATCACGGTTATGCCCGGCCGCGTGATTGGCACCTAATTGCGACGGCATTCCGGATCGACTGGCTGTCAGTTTCGCGATTTTCGAAAGTCGTTCGCCGGCGGCGTTTTTAATCGACGCCTTATCGAACCGGCCGGCCTAAACGGCCACTCGATCACGAGGAACGTATTCTCTGCTCCTTTTTTTTTCCCTTTTCCTCCTTCCTTCTGGTTTTCGTTTTTCCGTTCCTTTTTCGCCCCCCGTTCGCACGGAATGCATATTCGTATCAGCGGCTCGCCTCGAGGTGTCGCGATAACGCCGAAACGACGCCTTTCGTTGCGACGTCGTCGTCGTCGTCGGCGGTGGCGAACGACGATTTTCCAAACGCGCCGGGAAGAACGCGCTCTCTTCCTCCTCGTTGAAACCGAACGGTCGCATCGTTTCCGACTTCCTTTTGTCCCATTTTATTTCACGGTGCGCTCCGGAGGGCGCCGTTCTTATCGGCGGGACGTGCTTATCGCGCGAAATTTCTTAACGAGACAAAAGCCAGGCGAATATTCCTAGGGATTCCGATATCAAGCGGGTCAATCGAATAAAAATCAACTTCTTATCCGCGCACCTCAATGAGCGCGTGCGCGTGCGCGCGCGCGCGTAGACATAAAATTATGACACATAATGCAATTACTCACTTGAGGATACTCTTGGGATCGATGCCTGCCGGCATCCTCAGAGGTATTTTCTGTTGCTCCAGCAGAGATATGTTGTTGTCCTGAACAAACACAGACAGACAATGATATTAATGTTACATGAATATGTGAAACGGGAGGGGAATAGAGAATGAGAGGGAGTCGGATAAATTAAATATCTCATTGCTGTGTGTGCAAGCGTATATAGCTCAGTTACTGAGACATCAGCGTTAGTCACTCGATAACACGACCGATAAGCCATCCGTGAGAAACACTATACTAAACACCACGCGAGAGAGAGCGACAAAGAGATCGAGACGTCACTCCCCGCGGTGTCGCGCGAAACCGAACCGAACGTCGCGTGGGAGAGGAGACGGATGCGAATTTTCGTCAGTCCGGTGTCCGAAAATCGCACAACCGTCTCGCCCGTCAGCTCTCCGACTTGCGTCGCACCGCTCTTGCTTGGGACCGTTCCCGTGTCCGTTCCGGAATTCGGATCAAGGCGATTCGGATAAATGAGTGCGGTAAAATGAGAGAGAGAGAGAGAGAGAGAGAGAGAGAGAGAGAGAGAGAGAGAGAGAGAAAGGGGGAGGGGGGAGAGAGAGAGAGAGAGAGAGAGAGAGAGAAAGAGAGAAAAATGACACGAAGCCGACCTCAAGAGAGCGCGCATTCGGCCGCGACGGAAGCGGCGGTGGTTCCAAGCTTACCTGAGAATTTCTGGGCTTAGCCGAGAGATCGAGCGGTTGGTCGGCCGCCGTGGCGTTGTCCTGATGGGTCTGCACCGCGACGAGGGGTGCCTCCCTCGGCGGTAAACACCATTGGGGCAGCAGGGTAGGGTAAGTGCCGCTGAGAGCGGCGGCGACCACGGACGCCGCCATCGGATCCACCTGGACCGACATCGGTGACTCCGCCGATCGCGAGCTGCTGCTACTGTCGCTCTGCGGACTCTGCGGGGCACAACACGGAGGTACGTGTCATCCCGACTCGCGGAAAGAGGTCCGGCTAGCGGTATGGCTGGCGGATTGGTCAGCGGATACCGCGTCGCGGCAAAGAGGATACGCGGCGCGAGGTCCGCGAGAAGGCGCGGCGGGATCGAATTCTGATCGAATTCATTCTTCAAAAGGCGCGCCCCGCCCGTGCCGCCCTTCGCTCGCGAATCCTCCTCGTGAATCTTTTATATGGCCGCGTCAAAGCGATCAAAGCTGAAAGGCGCGCTGCTGGAGATGGTGGTGGTGGTGGTGGTGGTGGTGGTGGTGGTGGTGGTGCGCCGTTGCGCCGGTGGTATCGGTGGTGATGGAGGTCGTGATGGAGGTCGTGGTGGAGGTGGTGGTGATGATGGTGGTGATGGGTGGTGTGGTGCGACGGCGACGACGGCTGACGCCGAAGTGCGAAGTACGCTCGACTTAATCAAAAGCGGCAAAGGCTAGGTCGGACTCGAGCCGCGCTGGCGCGACGAAACAACAGGTGCATGAGAGGAGGGTAAAGCGAGAGAGAGAGAGAGAGAGAGAGAGAGGGGGGGGAGAGAGAGAGAGAGAGAGAGAGAAAGAGAGAGAAAGATTCCGATGACGTGATATCGCGCGCAAGTAGCAGGCAAAACGAGCAACGGCGGAGTGCGCGTCGCGCGCGGATCTAAGTGTCGGTAAATTACGCGGCGACGGGACCGTCGTGATATCGTCGACGTCTATCCGGAGCTATTCCGCGACTTCCGTTGGGAACGACGTTCGTAAAAAAAAAAGAAGAAGAAAAAAAGGAGAAAGAAGAAGAACAGAAGAAGAAGAAGAAGAAGAAGAGAAAAGAAGGGAAAAAGGGGGAGAAAGAAGACACACGAGAGAACGTCGCGCTCCTTCGTTTATACGCGTCTGCCGTCTTTCGCCTCGGGGGTAATCACTACGGGAGAGTAGCAGAGAAGGACGAAGTCGGTGCCCAGCCATGCGCAACCTCGCGAGTCAACGGCGCTCTCTCGCCGTCGGGTACTTACAAGGGGCGGCTGGTCGTCGTGGGGTAGTTTGCCGTCGAGACAGAAGTAACACTTGTCGAGCGGCTTCCAGTCCTCCGGCGGCGGGCTCGTGCGTCGGCTTCCAAGGAGGAACGGCGCCGCGGCGCTCGTCGCGGTCGCGTTCCCCTCGCGGCATAACAGCCCCGACCTGGTCCCTTCCGAGTCTGTCGCCGGCGTCGTCAGTATCGTCGTGCCGCCGCCGGAACCCGGCACTTCCTGCAGCTCCTCCTCCTTCTTTACCCTCAGCAAGCCCTGCGTTACCGGTGCCCGCTCCAACGCGACTTCCTCCGTTCGTTCCTGCAACGGAAAAAACAGCGGAAGGGGGGTGAGGATTTGCAGATTGCCGGCGAAGCTGGTGATTTCAATCTCCCGGGCGAGTAGACCTCTCTTCTCGCAGTCTCGAGTGGTCTTCACCTTGGTGAACGTACATTGCGTACGTTCGCGTTCGCGGCAGAAGTGAGCGCTTGGCCAGGCGATTGCTACATTTCTCTGGATCCATCGAGGATTCAGAAGTATACTACAATCACAGACAATAATCACCAAGTGCTTACTAAGCACTTACTTCTGCTGAACGTAGACACTGTCTTGATGCTATTGACCCCTCGAATCGTCATCTCATTTGTGAGCGCGGAAATCTGGGGATACGTTTAGCTCGCTTCTGCCAAGCACGAGTCTGACTCGTGGTGTTGTGGGAGCAGACGAGTTGGCGAAGCCAAGGTGAAATGGACAAATTAACACGTGGAAAATTGATAAAACTGACGAAACGAGAAAGGATTAGCGACCCAAACGGACCCGAGGGATTCCTGCTAAATTCGTGCTAGATTACCGACTAGTCTCTGATTGATTACTGGCTACTCAGTGAAGGTAGAAAACAATCGCATCGCCCATGAGACACGGTCGTGAACAAACACCAACCTTGGTCCCTTCCGTGTCGGTAGCGTTGGCAGTCGGATGATCCCGAGTCGCGCGATCGTTCTCCGTCCTGAGAGGGCTGACCGACCTGTCGGCGTCCTCGTCGAGCTTGAGCCGTTTCTCCGCCTCCTTCTGACCCCGTCCTGTCTCCTCGTCGTTCTCGTCGCCGTCCTCCTCGCCGTCGGCGTCCTCCCCGTCGTTCTGCCGGCGCCCACGTCGCCGTCTCGTCGTTATCGTCGTCGTGCCGGTCGTCGTCGTCGTGGTAGACGTGATAGACGTTGCCGACGTCACCGCGCTGCTGATGGTAGTCGCTGCTGCTGCTGCTGCTGCTGCTGCTGCTGCCGCCGTCGTCGCCACCCCCGCTGCAGCCGTCGCAGTCGACGTCGCCGTATCCGCCGTCCTCGCCGAAGAAGAGGTTTCCTCCCGCGCGATGCCGTCCGTCGGCTCGTCGACTTCGGCGACCTCGACCTTGATCTCGCCCGGCCTCCGACGGCGCGGATCTTCTTGCTGCTGCTGCTGCTGCTGCAGGTGATGATCCTGAGCCGACGGCGGCGGCGGCGGCTGCGGATGATGATGGTGGTTCTGCAGGTGATGCCTCTGCAGGCTCTCCTGCTTCACCACGCCGGTAGCGAGAGTCGTCGCTGTCGCCGCTGTCGTCGTCGTCGCCGTGGTCGTCGCCGTCGTCAGCGCCGTCGACGCCGCCGTCGACGGCAACGACGAGGGTGCCGGGTGATGCAGCTGCGGCCCAATTTGGTCCAGGCTCCCGGCTATCGGGTTGCAGGACGACGACAACGCCGGGTAAAGCCGATGGTGGGGCTGTGCCGTCGCTGATTCGCTGCTGCGGGTGCCGCTGTACAGGGTGTCCTGGTATTGCTTCCATCTCCTACGGCCCATCAACTCCTCCGCTACCCGTTCCAGACCTGCGACACCACCGCAACTACATCAAATAATGGCGTGCACCCTTCACCCACCACCTGTGCGTGGACGGGATCTGTTCGTTAGGATCAGTCGATCGATCCATCAGCCCGATATCGAGGATCGTTGTCGCCCGATATCTGGGATCGATCTAGGATCCAACAATCTTTGGCGAAGTCCCCTTTGGTCAACATTGTGTTCTAGTTGAGTTACTATCAAGGCTGCAGCGTCAAGAGCGGTGCACGAACTCTGCGATTCGGTCATATCCGCGTTCATTCAAAAACAGGTTCATTCATATCGCATCGCGCCAACACGACGCACTTTGTACGTCTTGCTGAAAACTCAGCGAAATATATCGCTCTCAGCTTCCCCGGGGCGGGAAGCTTGTGAAAACTTCAGGGGAATTTCGGCGAGTCCGACACGAGCTCATCGCACGAGCGCGCTCGTTCGGCCAATTCATCCGCTTGACGTGTGAAATATAAGCATACCGGCTGTTTGTCGTTTTTGTTTCCATCAGCATCGGAGCAGCTTGTTGAATAATATAACCGGCGCGTACATCGAAAGCCGAGAGAGAGAGAGAGAGAGAGAGAGAGAGAGAGAGAGAGAAAGGGGGAGGGGCAAGAGGGAGGGAGGGAGCACACACGATAACTTTATCAAAACGTATTTCCCTGGATGTCAACTGTCGCTATCGTAATCGTCGTGTGTATGCACACTAAAAAACGAATGTGGCCCGCGGTTTTATAATCGCGGTTGCATAATCGTGAGTTACGAGAAAAGCGCTCGCGGATGACGATATCTGCCCGCGTGCCGCGTGTGTGCCACACGGGGCGAATTCGCGCGCGCGCGCGCGCGCGCGCTCGCGTATCGCCCCGCACGGCGTTGCAACGCTCGAGCCGACTGTCGTGGAAAGTGATGAACGATGATTAAACGTTCCGGAGAAAAGCATGCGGATGTACGTTCGCGGAGACGCGGATGTCGGGGCGAAATTATATGAAGATCGTGTGCGCAAGCGATTGAGCAAGCGGACACGGCGGTTTTCGAAGGTCACGCTGGTCGCGGCGCGACGAAGGGAGAAGGAAGGAGGCCCTGCATTCGCCGGTGCAGAACGACTCTTTTTCTCCTCGTCCCCTCCCCCCCTCTCTCTCTCTCTCTCTCTCTCTTTCGCTCCCTCTCTCGTTTTTTCCTCCATTTTCTCGTCTCCTTCATTTTTTGATAGTTCGGAGCGCGCGAATTTTTCTCGTTTACAGGAAATTTATCACTTGAGTTTGAGAATGTCCGAGGATTTAATTGCACGTGGAAACGGAACGTGTTAATCTAATTAATTAACCTTTTTACCGTCGCCCGAACGAATGTACGCGCGAACGTATATGCGCGCCAGCATTGTCGGTGCGCACGGTGCGAATGAAAACGCATGGAGATATAATTTCCCTCGGAGCATTTTTATCCTTTTTCGTAACCGAGAGAAATCACTGGGAGAGGCGATTGTCTCGTCGACGCTGTTACGAAAATGGCGGTGACTTTTGCGTGTTACGTATCTCCTCCCAATTGATAAGGTCGCTACCATCGACGAGAGATAGAATATTTTTTTTTTCCTTTCCCTGTGCATATACACGTAATCGTCGAGTGTGCGAGTTTAGATTAATAAATTCAATGTCCCGGTGACATTGATTCCCTCTCCTCTCTTTCTCTTCCCCCCCTCTCTCTCTCTCTCTCTCCCGCTTTCATGTTTCACAAGCGACTTTACGCCGCTTAAAATCCCGCTCCGCTCCACGGAAGAACGCTCTGAACGCGATAGAGACAGCGATAACGGGGGATTTTTTCACTTCCTTATCCAAAGGCCGAACAGTTGACCGTTATCACACCGACGTGACGTGGCCGCCGCCGCCGGCGCTCGACTCCGACCAAAGGATTTTCAACGCGTCGGTTTCGCGCCAACGAATGCACGGCCGTTAAATCGTCATCGCGCCCGGCTCGCGTCGGGTTTTTACAAATTACGATATTTATGCTAGTCGAAACAATTATCAGCCGTGTGCCGTAGCACGATGCGATACGCGGCGCATTTGTGACGGATGTTAATTTCCTGAATAAATATTTAGCGCCGCGGAAATATGCCCGCCAGCGTGAGCCTGTGTTTTTCGCTCCGATCATTAATTTAGCGAACAGTTCGATATTCATTTGCGTAAAAAGCACCGCGCGCGATCCGCAGACGCGCTTTTTTGTCATCGGCGGCGGCGGCGGTGGGCGGACGGGCGGGAGGGAACGAGGGGGGAGGGGGGGGAGGTGGAGGTGCGACGGACGGAGCGAAACTGACTCAATTCGCGAGCCCTCGGTTCTTGCGTGTCGCAGCCTCTTCGTTTATTTTTATCGAATAAAGCAGCACAATTCGAAGCGCAAATTCATGTGTCGCTGATTAACAGGTTGCTCAGATATCTCTTCGACTTTACAACTTGTTAGCTGTAATGCAGGAATGAAGCACGGAAGAAAGAAGAAAGAAATCAATGCACGAGTATGTTTCAGCCGAAGGCCATGTTCAGCGCGCAAGGACCAACATCCGCGCGCGCAAAGGTTTCGCGAATCGCGCGGGCAAATTTTCCGCGAGCTTTCGCCGTCGCCCCGAAAAATCCCGCGCGAATTCCAACGAAACTGTCACGGCTCACCACTGCTCACCCCTCGTTCGAATTTTCCTCAGCCCCGCGCGGCTGTTTCTCGCTCGACGCGTCATAAACGCGTCTCCTTTCCGCTCACGCGTCCTCGCACGAGGCACGAAGCCTCAGAAAACAGAGTTTACTCGTCGAATCACCGGGCTTTATCTCGCAAAGAGCTCTTTCCGCGCGTCCTATCGTCGATCAAATGCAAACCGACAACGGCTGGCCGGCCGGCCAATTACGGACTCGGACGCGCCAATCAGCCGCGCTTCTCGACGGTCACCCGGTATCACGGCGCGCGTGCCGCAAATGCAACGTACCGTCACGCCAATCGGTCGTCGCGTGTGTATCGCACCAACGTGTGCAATACGTTTCGTCGTATTCGCGACGCACGTACGCACGCACCCACGCACGCACGCACGCGTGCACACGCTTCTCTGTATTCGCGAGGCGCGGCGAGTCGCGATCGCGGATCTCTTCCCTCCCCTTCTCTCTCTCTCTCTCTCTCTCTCTCTCTCTCTCTCTCTGCTTCTCTTCCCTTCAACGTGTGCATGCATGAAAAATATCTCGCGTGCACATCGCGGTCCGACGCGACGATTTTTCATGGCGCCCGGCCGCCTTCGTAGCACTGAATTGATTTTGTGTCGTTTGTGCCGCACGCGCGCGCGCGCGCGACCGGATAGTCATTAGGGTCACAAAGAGCCGCGCGTCGCGCGGCCCGTACGAGCGACGGCACGTTTCGACGAAATGCGTTGTTTCCGCGAGCGGGAATTCGCAAATTAAATTGCGCCACGGCGGCAATCGAGGTGGCGTCGCACTTCGCCTCGCGTCTTGGAATTTCGGAAGCTGTCGGCGGCGCGCGCGAGCGCGAGCGCGGCCGGTGGCTCGTTTGTGTTTACACAATCCGGGTTAGGTAACGCCGGAGATATCTGGCGATTCGGTAATCTCCCTCGCGAGATTACAGTACCGATCTATCCACACACAACGGAGACAGAGAGGCAGAGGCTTAATTAGCGCGGCTTAACGGCGGAATTGGTGCGCGCACGAGCGCGTCTGGATATAAATAAAAAATGAAAAGGGGGAAATGAGAGAAAAAAAGTGGAAACGGGAAAAACCGCGTGATATCGAAAACTGTTGCACGAGACTGAGAGAAAGAGAGAAGGCGGCGGGGGGGGAGGGAGAGAGAGAGAGAGAGAGAGCGAGTAAGGGGGGAGGGAGCGAGAGATGGATCTTTGATCGCGCGCGCGCGCGAATCATCTTGCCCGCTTTTGTGAAAAAATATTGTTTCGAAAATAAACCTCATTAACGAGAGAGATACCGCGACGGGCGGGCGGGCACGCTCGCGCTTGCAACGCGCAACGGCGGCGGGGGCGCGCGGCATCGCTTAATTTAGGATCAATTTGTAATGGACCAACGGCTTTGCGCGGCGGTACACCATCGAAAAATTCAGAGGAAAAGTACGGCACGCTTAAAATAATGGGACTTCGCTGCGTTATTACATTTTGTCTCTCTGCAAATTTCCGCTGATATAAAAGCGTATTTAGCAAATAAGCGCAAAAGTGACCCGATTACAACGCGATCTCCTCCACCCCGCCGGCCGCATTTTTTTCGCCCCGGGCTATCGATACTCGTGCGCGATATTGTATTCGAATAATTAAGTTTTACAGCGCGCGCGCGCGCGCGCGCTTTCGGCGATCGCGCGCATCGATTTCGCGCGTCGCGTCCGAGACCTCTGCGTGTTCCTCTGCGGATTCCCCCTTGATTTTGTCTTTCGTCCCAACGACGCACGTTTCGTCAGGAAAACACCTCAGTTCGAAACATCGAAGATAACAGAGACACGAAGGCAGCGCGGTGTGCGACCTCGATACGTGCGGCGCGGACGGTGCGCACGGCCGCGAGAACCATTTCGAAAGTACATCAGGCTGTCTCTCTCTAAATTCAAGTCCACTAAGGTCGGTTTATCCCACGCGAGTGGACATTCGCGGGCGATTAATTATTCCAGCCGCGTACTTGGTGCGCCGCGGTTATTATCGCCCGGCTTAACGGCGCGTGTCGGTTTTTCTCTTAATCGACTTATTTTTCTCAGCACATGTGGCGGTCGCAGGCACGCACGCATAGATACGCTTCTCGATTTCCGAAAATGATGTACCGCCGTGGAGAATGGCTCGTGGCCGAGGACGCGAAGTTGCGCGCGAAGAACAAGCGCGAGGTTGCCACGCCGCGACATATTTGGAACTTCGCGAGCGCAAAGAGACTTGCGCGCCTCGACAGTTGATTGGTTCGATCGTTAATTATACATCGCGTGTTATCGATTTACGTGCACGTCGGCGAGTCCGCGCGACAGCTACACGGGTTTTAAG